ATTATATCTATATATAAAATAAATGTATACATAATGAGATAATTTGATAGACGTATTATGAAGGATTCAATATTAGATTGTATTTTTTTTTTATTTAATCAGACCTAATATTTAGTTTGGTAAACAAATTTGATATCGTATTAATTGTAAAAACGTATACTTATTGTATATTTTTTGTACGACAGACTTATATCATGGAGATATTTTAATACCACTAAGATAGGTAGTATTATAATCCAATTCAAACGTATTATTCTATATATGTACTATTATAACCCTCAACTAATAAAATCAAGTTGTCATCAACATAACAAATACTGATTGAGAGTATTTTTGTTAATTTAATGTTAATATGATGAAATTATTTCCTAACAAAACACTAGATAAATTTAGGTATTATTCTAATACCCTAATTAAATTGAATTATTTTATCTAATTTATCCATTTCTAATACGACAACCAAATAAGTCGAATATATAATAGATAAATATGATATTGATTAAATTGCAACACTATTGTTTGTATTTTGATAATATGATATTGTTGAATACCAAAAAATCAAATATGACATATTGCAAGGGGCTGGGGCTGGGGCTGGGGCTCCCACTTGATACATAATAGAATTATTACTTAACAATTATAGAGTTGATCTCTACTTATATTTAGAGAGAACTAATAATGCATTGTACCAATTGAATTGGGAATCACTTTTAATTCAGTAAAGCGGTCGTTTTTTTGTGGTGATGGAGTAGTTTTTTGTTAGATCAGGAGAATAGTCCTAGTCCTTTTTATCTTTGGATTAGACTCGTCTTGGAATTGCGTATCTTGGCATTGAATTATTTACTAATCTATGACAATTTTAAAATAAAATTACTAAGCTATTATTTACTAAATTACAGCATTTTTTCAAAAAGAAAGAATCATTTTGTTAAAAAATAGAGTCAACAATCCCACTACGTTTGTTTAAAAAGGCTCTTCAATATTTCAGTTAGATGCAAAAAGGAGGAGTATATAAAACCCCTAATTAATTCACTCTTTTAAAAGCTAGTTACTAACTTCACTTTTAAAAAAAATCTTATTTTGATAAAAAAAATTTATAAATGCCATAATTTGTTAATTTTATTTTAAAACTACCACAAAAATTAATAGTCTATTCTCTTGGCTTTGAAGTGCAGAAAAAAATAATAACCGTGAGTCTTATGTGCGATCTAATTATAATTAATAAAGTACAGCTCGAGAACAATAACTATTCCCGCAAGATTTTTGTTGAATTGCAACACTCTTTTTTTCCGTGTACAAGAACCTAATGGTAGATTATGAAATTAAATTCCAATAATATTTATTACTCACAATAACATAACAAGGGATCCAAGTAGTCATGCACGTCGCATATTCTTTTAACAAATGTGACGAACAAACAAACGAACGAAAATTATAACGTGTGATGAAAATACATGTAAATTAAGTTTTATTGTTGTTTTAACGGATGTGGGGAACAAACGAACGAACAAACACATATTCTTTTATCGAATGTGGCGAACAAACGAACGAAAATTGTAACGTGCGGTGAAAATACTTGCAAACTAAGTTTTGTTATTGTGAATTATAAATTCAGGATTGAAATGGAAGTCATTAATTTGCTCTCTCCTGTATATGTATTGTATTCGGATGGCGCGTGGGAAACAATCTTAACATCAAACATCTGATTCCAAACATAATCAAATCACACACACACACACACAAATAAAGAACAGTCAAAAGTTGGAACAAATGAAGAGGAAACCAACCAAAAAAAAAAAAATCTAAAATTTTATTTATTTTCAATCATCGTTTTTTTAAATAAGCATATTCTTGCCAGAAATATAACACCCACTAAGCCGCTGAGCTAATATTTTAATTATAAAGAAATCTATGAAATATGGAGTTCATATAACATTCGAAATTTATATATCCCAAATAAAAAGAATTATTTTTATATCAGAATTTTAAAAAGAATTATTTTTTCTATCAGAATTTTAAAAGGAACCATTTTTTTCATCAGATTTTTTTTTAAAAAGAATCATTTTTTACATCAGAATTTTAAAAAAAAACATTTTTTATATCAGAATGTTAAAAGAATCAAATTTTTTATATCAAAATTTTTAAAAAAGAAACCATTTATTTAATTAGAATTTAAAAATAATTATTTTTTTTAATCAGAATTTAACAAGAATGGCAAGAAGTAACTGACAGCAAGGCCAGCTCACCAGTAGAGCCGAAAAAGCATGGGTTTTAGACTCCATATATAAAAAAGGCCCAATTTTTTGAGTTCAATAATAAAGTATAGATCAAATATTAAAATTTATTATAATTTAACTTAACAAAAAAACTCTTTAAAGATTATGTCAAAAAAAATAAAATTTAAAATTTACGTCCAAAAGTATAGTCCACCTCACACATACACATTTATTAAAAGACAAAAAAGGGTTAATACTTCGATAAAAAAATATAATAAGTATCTCTCTTCCAAAAAAATATTATTTATTAAACTCAACTTTGTTGTCATTTAAACACAAAACTACCAACAAATTAAATTGTTCATTCTCATAAAGGATCCACAATAAAAACTAGTTAATATAAAAAAAATGCAATAACGTTTAATATATATTAGATGCCTAAATTAGTTAAAAAGAAAAATTATGTGACACTATATTGTAATATTGAACATCTTTATTATAATAGTACCATATAACGGTCAATGAAAAAATACATAAAATATAAAATAATACATATATCACTTTTAATCCTTGCGCATCATCCAGTAATTAATTTGTCTCACTTAATCGATTCCATGGACGAAGACTTGATAGTGAGGAACAAGCAAAGACTATAATTGTTACAAGATATACAAATACTTCAAGCTTTTAAATAAAAGAAGGCACAGTAGAGCCGGCCCTAAGGCCCGACCATTAAAATAGTCGCCTAGAACCTAAAAAATTTAGAGATACAATTTAATTTTCAACTCACTGTTTAGCTTCAAGTTGTGTGGCCCCTTTTGAAAGGACCAAGTTAAAAGTCAAATATATTTCACAAGTTTGTCTAAAGCGTTATAGAAAATTCTAAAATGTAACAATATTTTCACAAATCTATGTAAATATTTATAAATAGTTCTAAAATATAGCAAAGTCTTCTAAAAAAATCTAAAATTAATGACTGTTAGTCTTAAAAGTAACAATCTCTCTCAATCTTTTTCTCTCCCTTCCATTCTCATTGTCTTACTTTGATTTTTTGTCCGTATCTTTTGCTATATTGTTATTTCTTTAAGATTTTATTCATCTATAAGATCTTGACTTCAAAATTACACTCAATATATTGTTTGATCCAGCACAATCCCAAAACTACTAAAATTTTGAAAATAAATTATACCGTAAATTTTTATAAAAAATTTTCTCACTTTAAACTCTAATTTGTGTTGGACCGCCCCTGACCGACAGAATATGATGATGGAAAACTGACAAGCAAAATTGAATGCAAAGTGATATGATCAAAAACTATGATGGACATAATTAAATGGAAAGCTTTTGATGGAAAATTAAAAGTGATGGCATGAAGAAAAACTATTATGTCAGAAAAATAAGAGAAATAATATGATTGAAAACTATTTATGCAAAATGACATGATTAAAAACTGTTCCTTAAAGTGAATTTGATGGCACGAGTAAAGAACGAGTAAAGATTAAAAAAAAAACCCATAAATGCAGGCAAGAAATAATCAACAACAGATGCAGTCTTAAGAGAATATAATCTGACAATTACCAGCAGCGCCAACAGGCCAATGGCTACATAAGCGCAAACCTTAAAGAGAGTGCTTGGCCTCCGAGTCCATTCGATATTCCTATTCCTCGGTGGTCTCAGAGGACCCATATGGTGGGTTTTACTTCCCCTTTTGTGCCAACATGATGCAATTACCTCTTTTCACCATGACTTTGGGTTTTGTGTGCAAGAAAACAAAGGAGATAGAAAAACAAGATTGTAGGAAGAAAGGAAGGAGAAGGACAGAGAAGATCAGTAATGAAGGAAGAGATGAGTGTTTTATAGAGAGAGTCGATGCTCGATTCTGATTAACTAAGTAACTAACTATCTACAAGAGTCTCTTATGTATTTTCTGTTACAGCGTACTTAAATTTGATTGGTTGTACATTTGCTCAATTGATACATGGTGAGCCCGGTGATTGGTTGCACACGAACCCCTGGTCTAGACCTGAGTCACAGGATGCGTCCCATAATCTAACAAAAGTCATCACGCGCATTTAACATGGCTGATAATTTTATGAAAATCACAACAAAAATTATGGTAGGAGTCACATTACTACAAATTCATTTAATTAAGGGTGTAAAATTAAAAAAAAATTTAATCTTTCAAAGTGCAAACTGCTATTTGCCGTAATAGATTTAATAACTAGACCCTATACCGATACCATAGGTTATAGGCTTTGCCGTGGGGTGCTCATGTCAGCTGCAACGCTTTGACTTCAGTTTTTAGGTGCAAATGGCAGTGAGAGTTATGCGACTAATCAACGTACAAAATTTGGGTTGAACTCAAAAATAACTTGGGCCGAACCCTATTGGACTTCTCAACCCATCTACTCTGGCAGAGTTATGCCACTAATCAATTGCACAAAATTTCACCTCAAAAGTTCAACACAAATAGAAATTTTCCCTTGGAACACAAGGTAGTTGCTCATAAATCTTGAAGGGAAAATATGGAAACCAAGATTCACTTTGGAAAAGAGGTATCTTTGTAGCTTAGTTCAAGAATCCTACCCTCCTCCGCAAACACAGAAAAAGAATATAACCCGTACATATGAAGGTCATTTAACATTTGGGACAGTATGGGAAACAAAAAGAGTAATGCTACTTTTTGAAGCAAGTGGTCAAGAACAAGCAAGTTCTTTGTTCTGATGTCCGACATCGCCAGTATATCCGCATGCCCCATCCCTGCTGCTTAACAGAATTATCTCATCACAGACTCACAACACCAGCAGGGAATAAAAACCGTACCTCAAAACAATAAGCAAAGATCCATGTAGATGAAAATATGCAAGTCATCGTAACGTCCAGAAGAAAATAATCAAAAAAGAATCTTAACCTCATAGATGTCTCGGCACATACTAGTCCCATATAGTAGGCCAGCTCTATCTTCCCAACAACATTTGGGAACCAGAAAAGGTAAGTATGAACTGAACCGACATCCATGGCAAAGCATTCAATTTAACTAGTCCTAGGCAGAACCTTCCCCTGGTTTCACCTCATCGGGCTTTTTGGATGGTGCCAAAGGAGATGGAGAGCCCCCCTCTGCACCCATTTCTGACCTGAGGTCGTTGATGCTCTGCTCCAGCTCATTTATCCGGTTTCCCATTTCATCAAGTATATTGCAGTTATGGAGGAACACGACAAACAATGCATCTTCTTTATTCTTAATGCCAATTAGATGCACAGAAATCTCATCCAACAAGTGCAGCATGGTCAAGCCAATTAAAATTCCAAACCTATTTCCTACCATTTTTCATGCTTGTAAGGTTGGTCCTTGATTTACACAGTGCATGGAGCATACATGACTACTATCTCAAACACGAAAGACGGGGGTATGCCCATATGATGTATGCTAAGTCTCAAGACTCTCAACAAATGAATCCAATCAGAGGATTCATAGAATTGACCTGTATGTAGCATACTGAATTACCCGGAACTATTGCCCTGCATTATGTAAAGCTAGACTGAGATAGTACGGATGTATTGAATGGAGTATAGCATGTTTAAAATACATAGAGAATGAGGCGCTTTGTGGAGCACAAGCCACAACATATATGTTGCTGATTGAAAATAAGTGTCGTGATTTACCACAAACAATTGCAATCCAGCAAAATAAAAAATGCAGGGAAAGGATATTCTTTGAAACAATAGATTCAGACATTGTCTGGAACCTGGTTTGCTGCAAAATAAAGATACTACTTAATAACAATTGGCAGTCCGAAAAAAATATCAAGTAACAATAGTATTATACAGAACATATAATCTGTGTTACAACTCACCATCTGTTGAAGAAGGTTTTGTACCTACAGTAACAGGAAATTAGCCATTAGTGAATCTTTGATATTACAAATTCAATCACAAGCAAGAAAACAACTCCTATACCCTAGGAATACGTATAGCACTCTCTAATCAACAAATTGTTTTCTTTGAAATGTATTACATGAAACTCTAGTGATTCAGATCACATAAACCAATCAAAGTATCTGCAGTATGCTTTAAACATCACCAAACTGTCCTTGCAGCTATATATAGAACAATGCCGTAAGACACTTTGATACAAGAATCCAAGTGAGGAACTCACAAAATCTGTCATATCAGCTATACATAGAACAATGCTGTAAGACACATTGATACAAGAATCAAAGTGAGGAACTCACAAAATCTGTCATATCAGCAGTGCTTTGCTTTGGTTCTTCTGAATCCTTTCCATCCTGCCAACAAAACCATCAAGAATTTACCAGGAAATGCCTACAGAAATGAAAACACATACAACACCCAGAATCGAGTAGGAGGTAGCATTTACCATAACTCAAATAGAACACTGATTAGAAAGGCTAATTGAACAAGCATGTTAATTCAATTAAAAAAAAGAGCATGTTAATTCACAAAACTTGAATATTACAATTATTAATAACGCCCTAATGCAACAAGCCACCATTTTATAGATTTGAAATTGCATCTCCGAGAAAACACAAACATTTTTATATTCATTGCTTTGAAAATTGAGAACAATGCAGATTCTCTAGCAGAAACAGATTAATATATAAGTATCATCCTCCTAGTTCAGCAGACCCTTCCTTTGTCATGCTTATTGCTTTCACCATATAATCACAGTTGCCACTACATACATCATAGTACAAATTGATATCTATGTTTTGACATTGTTTACAATATTGGAACACATATCACCGCCGCCAGCACTCAAATTTTAACTTCCAAATAGGGAAGAGAAAAAAAAAAAAAGAAATGATACAGAGGTGTAATGAAAGAAAAAACATGACAACTATATGGGTTTGTGTGTGACAAATATAGACCAAACACATGGAAATGACATAAAACTCAACATTTCAACCAGATTGCACCAAAAGCTGGCCCGGCCAGGCATAACACACCCTGACATATTGAGATAAGAGCTCTAAGCTGCTCTAAAAATTTACGCCCACTAACTAGAAAGAACAGAATCAATAACATGTCATTTTAACCACAGAAACAAATCGAACTGACAGGAACGAGTGTCTAGGACACTTCATATGTCTTGAATGTAAATGAAATTTTCTGTGCGTGAGTGTGTGTGTGCAATTAGGCAAACCCTAATCTTCTATGGGAACAGATCTAAGCGTTTCGAAACGAATATTTTGCAGAATAATTTGGCGACGAAAGTTTTAAAACCCTAACATTATAGATGCTGATACAGATTACATCAAAACATATGATAAAAATAAGAAATTCAAGCACAAACGAAACACAAATTATATAACAGAAGATGATCATAAATCCTGTAAGTGGGAATTGGAAGAAAGTGCTCACCATTCTCCGCTGATTGTGAATCACTCCAAATGCTTTCGCTGCCTCACTTCGCCTTCTCTTACCTTGTGTGCTGACTGTGACTAGTTCTGAGGTAGAGATGATCCAGACACACACCGCGCCTTCGATTGGATATTGGTATAATTACATATTTGCCCATTGAACAACTTTAGAGAGAAAACCCTATACACTCAAAATGTGGTATGACCAAACTAACCACAAGAAACGGACTTCAAATTTGCACCGATTCTTCGAGTTCAAAAAATACCTCCTCCAACTAGGGTGATTTAGTGGAACATCGGCTTTATTTTTCACCTTAAGGTTGAGAATTCGAGTCTTGGAGCCTTCATTGAGACTTGGTGGTTGACCGCTATGCTAGCCTAACTAGATCTAGTCTCGAAAGATGTTCCAGACGCGGTCAAAGGCCTTATAATCCCACCAATGAATACCTATCAGGGTGGTTACTGGGCACTATTCTTTGCCCCTACCCCTTTTATAACCAACAAAAAAAAAATACCTTCAACCATTATTCAAATTTGAATTAATATTTAAGGGAAAATTTTGATTTAATATAAATGGTTCTAATGGATAAATTCAAATTTAAAAAAAAGAAATTCAAATTTAAAAGAGGATAAAATATAACTATTAGATCTTTAAAAGATGATAAAATCTTACCATTAAAAATTTGGGTAAAGAATTGAGTTTCTCTTAATTTGATATGAATATAAGTATAGAATTGAAAGAAGGTTTTTAAGAGTTTTTTATTTAAATTTAAATTTGAGTCTAAAAAATGATAAG